TTGTAGTATTGTTTATATTACTTTATATTTCTAAAAAATATTTCTTCTGTAATTATGAATTTAAATGAGCCACTTAGATGTGAGACATTTTGCAATATGTTAAAAAGAAAACTGACTAAATTTATAGTCAGTTTTCTTTTTAACATATTGAATCGATTCAACTTTAAATCGACATAATTATAAGTATACTTAACATTAAATTGACTCAACTTTGAATTAACATAACTATGAATTTACTTAACTTTAAATCAACTTAATCATAAGTGTACTTAACATAAAATTACCTTCATTATGAATTAACTTAATTTTAAAACAACTTAACTCTACATTAAATTAATTTTAAATATGGTGACATACATTGCTATGGTTTTGATTCCCGCATATCACAATTGGCACAATTCTGATGATTTTAAATGGAAAACGCGATGGCGTGCGAAAGTCGGGCGTATAATGAATCAGTGGCGTCACGCGCAAGAGACTAATTGCAACGTGACAGGTGCTTAAATAAATATTCTACCGAATTGAGTGTTAGACTAATCCCACGCGAGCCCTTTCACATGATCGGTTTTAGAGATTTCGAGCTTTCGAAGAGACGTGATGAAAGGGTTGAAAATTGAAATGTACAAAATAATCTATTGAAATGGGTTAAAATAACGTGATTTGGAAAAGCTAAAATTGAACGAGTCACGTAAAACTAACTGATACAGTACAATATCAGTGTATTTTACAAGATTTGCACTGATAATTAATTCTTTTGTAAATGGTGCTCACCTTTCGGTAAATTCAATTAACCCCTTTGCAGATTTTATTCATTCTTTTGCAAAAGAATAAAAATTTTGCTATCCTTTATTTAATTTTTAAATTTTATAACAGATAATTAATCTTCATTAGGGTTCAATAATTACATAAAAGGTCTCATCGAATTTTTAAAGACAAGAAGTATATTAGAAATAATTAGGAACAAGTGAATTTGATTTGCAAAATGGCGAAATCAACTTTCTTCATTGATAACTGTTATAACCAAGCCAAACAAATTCCAAATACAACTATTATTTATAATTGAAAATATTTGTTCCTATTGATGGTAATGGTTATAGTCCCTGGTATAATGTATATATTCTGCTCGAACCGTGTAATTTATATCGGTATACACAATTTGGCCGGAGGACCACGTCGATGGCAACGGAGGAATGTGGTATATTAATAATTAACTCACAATACCAAACGGGAAAGTTACATATACGCATCAAAGACCGCTACCGCAAGCGATTAGAGAGAGCTACCACAATGCCACGGTATTATTTACCTGCCTATCGGCCGACGAAAAGAAAAATAGAGACTGAACTTTATTCGGAATGTAACAATATACCGAGTGTCCATCAATGACCGCCGTTTGAAATAACAGATAAACGGTCGACGTCACGAAAAAAAGAGTCAAATGTATTTTTTATGTCTTTTTTTACGTAGAATGCGCTAACGTAAGAAAAAAATTGTTAAATTAAATTCCGCAAGGTCATCCGAAGGTTACTTTAATTATATTTAATGAAATGCTCTATTTTTGTTACGCTACGACGAAACAGCATAAAAAACGAATTCAAATACTGCTTACCAGTGACTTTGAATTGATCTTCGAAGTCGCAAAAAGTACAGTTTTAGTGCAACAGATGAGGATGGGCTTTCCTGTCCTTTTATTTACATCGAGTGATAGTATACTATATACTATACACTATAGAATGTGCTCGAAATTCCCTTTTTTCAACTGCTAAATATTAGCGTAGTCTTCTCAGAAATGATTGTTGTTGCTGTGAAGAGATCATTTCCGAGAAGTCTACGCTCCAATGCATAGCAGTCGAAGGAAAAAATTTTGAACCTATTCTGCCGGCAAAGTAAATAAAAGATCAGAAAAGACCATCCTCATCGCATTTAAAATTTCCTTTTTACGATTTGGAAGGTCACTTCAAAGCCACTTGTAAATAGTGTTTCGAATTCATTTCGTTTTTACGCTCTTTCATTGTAGCGAAACAAAAATACGGTGTGCCATTTAAAAGAACTAAAATAACCTTCGAATGACCTTGAAAAAGTACAAACATTTTTTCTTGCATTAACGCATTCTATGTAAAGAAAACATGAACAATACATTTGACGCTTTTTTTCATAAAGTACACCGTTATTTTAAACTGCACTTGTCGATGGACACCCTGTACAATTTTCTGAATATAATTATATTATATTTTAACCAGGTGTAATTATTGATATGTTTTTCATGTTCATTGGGAATTCATTGTTCCCAAAATATGCAAATTCAGTGTATTGGAAATGGAAAATTTGAGTAATATAAATTGATTAGCAGACTGTATATCTTTATGTAAAATAAAAATTGTCTTTGTTAATTGCAAGATACAGGAACTACAGTAAATTCTCTCTAATTGACGCTCAGATTGTGCACAAAAATGGACAATTTGGGAAGAGGAGGTATGATTATTCGAGCCTTGCGGCTCGTTTTTATAGTAACCGATTGTCAACAACTATAAAAATGAGTGCGCAATCTGAGCGCGAATTAGGGAGAAATTACTGTACTACAGAAAAAACATTCATTAATTAATTGGAGAGAATTTATTGCAAATTTAATAGGATTTATAAAACACTGAATATTAATATCGAAGAATATTTTTATACAATACTTCGCAATTGGACCACTACTGATTGCGAGTGAATACTTCATAAAGTAATATTTTATTTTAAAAATATATATATATATAAAAGCAAATGGAGTATATTTTGATTAAATAAACAGGTTTTGAAGAAATATATGCAGTTTTATATATTCACTTGAAAATCCGACATTTCATGCGCACGAACTTAATATATGATATAAATATATAAAACTGCATATATTTCTTCAAAACCTGTTTATTTAATCAAAATATACTCCATTTGCTTCAATACACTTTTCGCTACGAGATTTTTAGAGAGATAGATTCTGATCTTTAGAATTAATAAACTTTCATATGGAATTTTTCAGATTGTCTTCATTTTCATACTGTTTAGCCCGTAAAAACTGTTTTAAATGTTTAAAAAAATGGAAGTCGATTGGCGAAAGATCCGGCGAATAAGCTGGGTGCTGCAAAATTTCATATTTTAATTCATTTAATTTCGCAATTGTTTTGTACGACTTATGCCGATTAACAAGCGATGGGCGTATAATTTTAAATTTTTCATGCATTTCATCGATGTACTGGCAGTACTTTTCGGCTGTAATTGCCTGCCAAGTTCGAAGGAATAAGTAGTGAATTACTCCAGTCACATTCGTTTCCACCAATTCTTCCAGAGCATCATTTTTCACAGACGTTTTGGGTCTTCCACACGGTTCATTTTTTTTTTTGTAGGGAAAAATCACCAGACCGAAAATTTTAAAACCAACGCTACACTTCTCGATCGTTAACAGTATTCTCCCCAAATGCCTGGTTTATATTGCGTCTAGCTTTTGCAGCATTATTAGCAATTAAATAATTATAGGTAATTAAATTTTTAATTTAATTTTTTTTTAAGTTTTTATAGGTAATTAAATTAGCCACAAAAAAATTACACGAATATCGGTCGAATTCGTATCCTTGCGAAATTCAAAACAAATAAGGAAATGGAACACTTTTGAGAAAATCTTTTTTGTTGAAATGTGAGTCTGGCAATGGAGAGTACATCTATAAACGAGGTTATAATAAGTAATTTTTGAGTTAATATTTTATGAACTGAAGAGATTGAAATGGAGTTGAACGTAAGGAAAGGCGGAAAATATACTGTCATAATAGTTTAATAGAAAGAAGAAGTTAAAAGGAGAAGAATGAATGGTGAAGAATTCGCATGCTTCTGCAACGTTCAATTTATGGAAAAATCGGTATGGTGTACAACAGCTTAAAAACATTGAACTCTATTCTATGGATTTTTCATGAGTAAAAGAAGCGAAAGGAAAAGATGTTCGCGACTTATACAAATATGTAGATGATGAAAGCTGCCAATGGTTAGACAGAATGTTTAAAGAAAGTAATGAACCATAATAAAAGATTAAATATTCAAAAATATTCATAAATTTGCTAAAAGTAATATTTTCTATTTTTCTCAAACACCTCAAATAATATAAAATGTATGATTTTTTGGAAATATGTAGTATAAATATATTTCTTGTGTACATACGTTGCATATTTCTAGCAAAATCATTATTTAATTACTCATATTTCCTCGATTTATGGAATAAGAGCCCATAGAACTGCTAAAAGATGTCAGTTTATTTTCAAAATGGTATTAGCGTGTGTTACAAATTTATACTGAACACTTTAAGGGGTAGGCAAATTTCATTATGAGCCACTTAGTTAACAATTCAAGCATAGTTATATATTGACCAAATTAAAACGAAAACTTCTAACGCGATTTACTCGATTCGACATTTTGGCTTATGGGCCCTTTTTCCAGAAAGGTCCTCAATTATGAAAAAAAGATTCGCTCCTTCCACGAGAACATAAATGTAAGTTTCATCTTCGTTCGCCACTGATTTAACCGTGAAAATCGTGCGAAACGTCGCACTAGCCTACTTATAAACAAAGTTCCGAAACTTCACCTATTTCTTAACGCCGCAGGGGACGGTGTCCACCAATCCCGAAAAATCCGAGAAAAAAGGAGCGAGCAAACGCGGTTCCAGTTCACCGCGTTCTCGTCCTTCTCGCCGCGGCGGAAAAACCTCGGGCAGTCCGCTCGGAGCAGCTAATTGTTCCATCGACAATGTAACCGAGCAACGAGTCGGTTACTCGGTGAATTCAAACGCGAGCGCACCCGGAATCGGGTGCATCTCGGTCGAGGGATTCGGCGAGGCGCGCGCGGCTTCGCTCCGGCGCCCGAAGTAGGGGGAAACGAGATGAAAACATTTCTTCTGATCTCTAAACGGTGCGCGGCACCGTGCGAGCGCCTGGCCACCCCCGCTCTCGGGGTTGCGGTGGGTGGCGGAACTACAGGGCGGCCAAGAGCCACAGTTGGTTGCGAGCTGTCGTCATGAGCACATTACGCGTCTTCGGTCTACGCGACGCGACCTCGTGTCCTCCGGCGATCCCGTGACCCCGTGATTCGGTGAACAGGTGCCCGTTACCGCCACCCCCCGCCGAAAAGAGATCACCGAATTTGTGCGTCGGCCGAGTGCGACAGTGACCCCTCGGAAATTCGCAGTGGAAAATTGTTGGTGAAAATCTGATCAATCCTGTGACGAACTCTCACCTCCTTCCCCCCTCAACCCCTCCCTCCCGTACAGTGATCATGTTGGTGAAAAATCTGGTGCGTCCGTAGAGCGACCGTCGTTCAGTGTGTGAGAGTTCGCCTGGAATCTTTGAAATCGGTGAGGTCGAAGCTCGAGTACACGAAGTGCCGAAAATCGTATAGGTTCGCAGACCGTCGCGTAGGGTCGTGCATCGTTTTTTTTCAGCGTTGATAGAAAAATAGAGTCGAAAGGCGATCCGCGGAACCGACGAGAATGTGTAGCACGAGGGTGACGAACGTGACCCGCGCTGCGATAAAGTTTGGTCAGCCTCGGTCCGCTGGGCCGAGCAATAAACCGGGGCATGATCGTCGGGCAGAGTGTTCCCCTAATTCCGAGTGACTCCGAAGACTATGCGGAACGTCGCCGAAACGGAATGGCGGGCCTGAAAGATTCATGAGAGCGCTTGAACTCGCGCAAAGGTCAGAGGACACGAGGTCGGTCTTCGCCGGTGATCCTCTTTTAAAAGAGGGGACGCCAGTTTCCGGGAAACTGGGGCGATAGACGGGAAAAGTTAGGCTCGGGAAGCGGTGGAGCATTCGGGCTCGGTGCCGCGTCTGTGATCCACGTACTAGGGTAATAATCAACCGGCTAGCGAATCGGATTTCTGAAAAGCGTTTCGATCCGTTCGGTGGATCGAATCCGACGGATCCATCGGGATTCGCCGCGATAGGCGATTTTTTGAAACGGCGATCACGCTCGACGAGATGCCCGGCGATGCAGTATTTGGTATCGCCGCGATCTGAATCTCGGGTTTTGTTCAGAGCTTGAACAGTTCGGAAGGGAGAATGGTAGCGCGACGCGGCGAGAAAAGTGATCCGGAGGATCTGATAGATCGCAGCCGGATAGGCTGCGATGTGGCCGCGATGAGCGACGGGTGGATCGATTGAGGATCTCGGCGAGGATCGTCGGTGGTGTCCGATGAGTCGGGAGCTGACTGGCTCGGTGACAGTGGCCGCAGTGGTTGCAAACTGTAGACGACCATGGACAGAAGGGACCTGGTCGGCGGTGAAGGTCGCTCGCGGAGCACGATCGGCAATACAGCCTCGGGATGCTGCACGCTGTTATGCTAGGCAGCGGTCCGGGCCGAGGGAGACACGAATGGTATCCGGGATTCTACTTGCAGCGACGACGACTTGGATGCAGGATGAACCGCGGTGAACAGGAGACACTATTCCGGCAGAGCCGGCAGCTGACCAGGATCGTGCCATCGCACGAGGACCTGGTCCTCAGCGTGCTCAAATCGCCGATCAGCCAGCACCAGCATCATCATCAGCAACGGCAGCAGTACCATCACGCGCACCACTCGCACGAACACCATGTTAACTGCCAAGGTCATCCGAATCATAAGAAGTGCACGCACTACTCAGGTACACTCGGATCGACCGGCCGCGGGCGGCCGGCTCGGTTTAACCCTGTCTTGAATACACCAATCAGAGGAGTCTTTTGCTCTCGATCGAGGTCGGTTCGGTTCTTCTGGGCTTTTAGGGGACTCTTGACGAACGTTTGATGCTTTCGATAGCTTCCTGGGGGATCTTCGATGTCTCCGGGCTTTGTGCGGGACTTTTAGAGCGTCTGGGACTTCTAAGATTCCTGGGGGATTTGTGTGGTGGCTTTCCGGGAGACTATTGGGGCCTCTGGGCTTTTTTCGGGGAACCTTTGCAGCTACTGGATCTTCTAGGCTTTCTGTGGAACTTTTGGGATCTCTGTGCTTTCCCAGAGATTTTGGAGGTTTCTTGGTCTCCTAGACTTTCTGGTAGACTTTTGGGGCCTGTGTGCTTTCCGGAGGAATTTTGGAGCTTTTTTGGGGACCTCTCTAGGACTTCTCTAGGCTTTTTGGGGGACCCCTGGGGTTTCTGTGCTTTCCGGGGGACTTATCGTTTTCCCGAGCCTTTGAGAAAGCTTCCTGAGAGAGTTCGGGGGTCTTTGGGCTTCTCGGTGGACCTCTTGGGGCTTCTGAGTCTTCTAGGATTTTTGGGAGACTTTTGGGGTTTCTGTGCTTTTCGAAGGACTTTGGGGGTTTTTGGGTTTTCTAGGCTTTCTGTAGAATTTCTGGGATCTCTTGCTTTCTAGGGGACTTTGGGGGTTTCTGGGCCTTTTAAGCTTCCTGGGAGACTTTTGGGGTTTTTGTGTTTTTTGGAGTACATTTTAGCTAATCTATTCCGTCATCAATATAATTGATAAATTTATTCGTGCACATCTTAGTTTAGACATAATTATACTGTTTTTGCAACTACTGTCTTCAGAGAATTTCACTGTATAATAATTTACTGGTGGAAGAAGCATACGGTAGAGAGAGAGAGAGAGAGAGAGAACTCCATTTATAAGAGAACGAAATGTTGGGCAATCCCAGATCTAATAAACTTCTACTGAACGCCTCTTAGAATAGTGGAGTTGGTCACTATGGGGTGATCAATCATTGTGCATTTGGTTTGTTTTTGGGCATAATACTGTGCTTTCAAGGAGGAAGGCTACATGCTACGTGTTTTCACCTTCGAGGTATTATCGCATAAAGCACTAATCAATAATTGCCTCGTATTAGTAACGTTTCCATGTATGTCATTGTTTTGGGCCTATAGAATTTTATCTCCACGATATTTTTCTGAGAAACATATGAACGTTATATTCTGTGTCTCAATTAATGCAGAAACTGAAAGTTTTTGGCAAATTGTGACATGTGTGGCGTTTTTCCTTACAGCCATGGAATTAGCTTTATATTTATCGAATAATACGTATTTCATTTTTTTTTTATTGAAAAGTGAACAAAATAAAAGAATAACAAAATGTAATATGTCTTGTACGATGAATGTATAATTGTGCCGTTCATTTTGATGAATAGCTATTTTAATATTTACATTTCTACGTTATAGATAATCTCATTTCAGCAAAGCCGCTAGAACGTAATAATCCTTAAAAACACAAAAATATTATACTACCGTGTTATCAGTTACCAATATTTTTTAATTTATTAAAATGCGAAAGTTTTAAATATATCTGGATATTGAAATAAATGTGGACCCGGGCCACTTTTAAAATAAACGGCTCAATTAATTATGCCCGAGAACAAACCGAAGACACAGCGATTGACCACACAACAATGACCAGATCCACTACCCTGCGTGAATTACTGCAGAGCGTTGCTCCAATTACGTGAACACCTAGGATTTAAATGTGTTGTCGCCTGAGGAATGTATTAAGCGTTCGATTAATTTAATTCCATTTATCTGAACGCGAGCTCTATTAATTCCATATGAATTCAATATAAATTCAATTCAATTCAATGAAATTTTTTATACAAAGTCAATTTCTAGTTTAAACAATAATGTACTTGGATTTGTATCAAATCACCGGCAATGTCTTAACCAACACCGTTTCATCGGTATTGATCTCGCCGACGATGTTAATCAGTTAGCTGTGTTTCACGATTATACTCGTCATGAAGAAATGGCAGTATTTTGCGTCGTGGCGAGTATACTCGTCGTGCGTATAAAAAGTAGTGACCATTGGCTATTTAAAGTGTAATTTTAGTGAAAACAAACATATATTCTGAAATTTCAAGATGTTTAGAATATTTTGAGGCCAATACTACACGAAGGTGTTTACATTGTTATAAAAATAACATTAAAAAAGAATCGCGATATTAGTGTTCAACATGCAAAGTACTATTATGTATCCTTTCTTGCTTTGCTGAATATCACTTTACAACAGCAATCTCAATTTTTATCTTTTCTAAGTATTTGATTTCTCCTGCGTTTTTCGTTTATTATGTACGTGGTATACGTTAATGTTAAGTGAATAAGTAAATATTAGTAATAAAATTGTTAATTTTATAAAATAAAACCATCTTTTTGATTCAATATTTCAACAGCGACACTTACTCTGTGTTTGACGATTATACTCGTCATCACTTGATTCTCGCGACATATAAATTATAATTGCACGCTCTGAAAAGGAGACGTCACAGCTAAATGGTTAATTAACCGACATGGTGAAATCATCGACACTCTCGCCGATATTGCCATTGATATATTAAACGTATTAATTATTACGAAGCAACTGTTCATCCAAAATAAAGAAGTACACTTACAGACAAAAGTTAAGAAACGCCATTTAAAACGTAACAATTTTTTAAAAACTAAACTCTCTCTAAACGATTTGAATTTCTTTAAACATGTTCGAAGGACTAGCCTACTAGACGATGATTAAAATGCTTTGTTCTTTTAATTTTGCTATTACTTGGAACGACGAAGAAAAATAAAAAGTCACTCGTTTTTTCACTTTCTTATCTGCACCCATAACGAAAAAATTTAAACGAGAACTTCTTCTTTTTCTGTCATTCCAAGTAATAGCAAAACTACGAAATGAAGTATTTCGGTCATTGCACGGTAAATTATTCCCTCTGATATGTTTAAAAAAATACCAGTCATTCGGTCCAGTTTTCAAAAAGTTATTGTGTTTGGAAAGGTGTTTCTTTACTTTTGTTCGTAAGCGTAATAACTAAGGTATAATTGTAGACTGAAATAAATGTAAATCTATATGGTGATAACTATGTATTGATCTGCATACATAAGCATGGTAACTAATCGTAATAGCGTATGTATTGAACAAGAACTGTCGGTTAAATGATCGTCGGTGATTTGATGGAAACCCAATGTGTTTACAGTGACAAGCAAAAGTGTATACACTATATACGCAGCGCATGAAGGCCACGCTGCCAATTCCTTAACTAATCGATCAAATTTGAATGATTGTAGTTGCAAAGTGAATATAACTAACGTTATGCAATCGTTTACTTTCATTCATTCAATATACGGAATATTTTCTAAAAGTATGAATTCAAAATGTTTACAGCGTTGAACTTTGACATTGCTGTCGAATTATAGCCTAAATTCTAAAAAAAGTATTTTTTTAAAAAAAGTATTTCAGTTTCATATTTCATTTTTCATTCAGCCCTTTTTTTTCATTTTCTACAAGTTCCCAATTACATTCATATCGAAATAAATTTTGCACTATGATTTAATAAAATAAAATTATTTTATCTGTTGATAATAAATTAAGTAAATAAAATATTTCGAACTGTGGCAGAAATATCTTCAGTGTTTCTCAAATAAAATATTATTTTAAGAAAATTATTTTAAAAAATTGTTACACAGAAATTCATGTATTCTATTTTTAAAAGTGCATTCTTTCGAACAAATAGAATATTTTATTTTCAAAAATACGTGCATGATATCTAAAATGAAATATCTATTTACTATTTGTCATTTAAAATTCTATTTTACCAAACTCTGATCAACTACCTATTTAATTTCAGTCTGTCGTCCGATGAAACGTGTAAACATTATGTTATGTTTCTATTTGTAAAAAATATTCCGTCTATTGTATGCACAAGTAAAAATAAACCGATTAATTACATTCACCTTGTAACTACAATCACTTAATATCGACCGATTAGTTGTGGAACTGATAGCATGATATACATTTTTATGAGACATGTAGTGTATGTGTACACTTCTGCTCGCCGGTACAAGTATATTATTGCTGAAACTTGAAAATTTATTGAATCAACCATATTCTATAAGATTGACATATTTAATCAACGATTTTAAATTATTATTATTGCATAATATTTAATATTTTTAATCATTATTATAGAATTTGTACAATCAATGTACGAATTTTGAATAATTGTTTTTGATATTTCTAATGTTTTCTCATCTTAACTTATTGTATTATCAATATCAATCTAATATATCAATCGAATATCTCGTAAGTCTTGTTTTTCAAACAGGACTTGTAAGTATTGTACCCTATTCTTTGAGATAAAATAAAATACTATTTTTATCTTGTCAGTATGTAATCACTAGAAAAAAACATTAGGTTTATAATAAACATGGTAAACTTTTTTCTGCATATAATCAATTATTAAAAAGTGAAACGTCTCTGTGTTAGTAGTAGTCGTAAAAGGAATTCTATTTTAAATAAATTTCCATTTTGTCTAAGATAAGTTGGTTATGAATAATTTTATCAATCATATTCTTGTGTTAAGTCATCTATTCACAAACTATGCTATCTTGAAACTAACCAATTCAATTATATTTATTAAATATCGAAAATTTTATATGA